TGTGATGTTAATTCTGTCTGTACAACTTTCATAGCCTATTATGTAGCACAGTACGATGAAACAATGACCTTTGCCTGGAATAATAAATGGTGGATTGACTTGGCATACTAATTGGTGGATTAGCTGGCATACTAAATTGTGGATTGACTTGGCATACTAAATTGTGGATTGACTTGGCATACTAAATTGTGGATAGGCCTTGTATACATATGGTGTTTTGGTGTTTAGGCATTACTTTGTGTATTGCTAAATCTCTTGCTGTTTCTTTCAAATTGTGACAGTATACAGCAGTTCTTGTATTACACAATGTGACAACAGACAGTACTTCTTTTATTACACAATGTGAGATACAGCAGTCTTTGTAAAATGCAATGTAACAATATACAGTACTTCTTTTATTACACAATGTGATACACAGCAGTCTTTGCATAATGCAATGTGACAATATACATCAGTCTTGGTATAATTCACTGAAGATCAAGAAATACCGTGGGCAGTTATTTGATCCCTTATAAGTAGGCTATAGTTTCCAATTTCAATGAACATTCGAAAGTGTTATTTCAAAAAACAATCTAAATCTCGTTTTTTTTTTCAAATTTCGTTTCCGCACATTCATCACAAATATTGCAAATAGAATTTACTTTTGAAATGAAGTGAAACATTTTTTTCTTGTCGAAACCAATAAAATTCCTCTTTAAATAGTTATTGAATTATATTTTTATAAATATTCCATTTTTTAAATTAACGAGCAAACACTCTATGGCAACATTCTTTTACATCCAACAAATTGCATTGTTGACTTCTACTCTAGTAACGTTTCCTTTTATGAGATAATTTTATTAAATATTGTGAAAGTCATTCTCATTTGTTGTTTATAATGAAAGAATGAAAATGAATCCGCGTGTCAATTAAATTTAAAACTCATTATTGTCGATAAATTCATAACCACCAACCAATCAAAGCTTCTGTTTTTTTTTTTAACTTCGCTTGAGACGAAACAAAAAATCATGAAAGTGCTGATGAAATTGCCTTACACAACCAGTAAAAATAAAATCATTGAAAAGTTAAAAGTAAAATTAAGCAGACCGTAAAAACACAGTTTTATCGTATGCATCCTTCATAAACATTTTGGTGGGACTCAGTGATGGCTACAGTTTTCAAGCAATCATTCCATCATATTTCCTTCATTTTTCCCTCAAAACAAAACAGGAAAAACTAATTATTATTTTTTTTTTGGTGTGGGGGGGGGGGTGGGGAGATTGAGAGGTGGAGCTGAATGTTTGATAGAATGTGCTGTCATCAGCAGCAAATCTATGTGCCACATTTCAGCTCGATAGGATCACGGGATGTGGGTCAATAAGCCTCCCAAAGATTTCTCTAGAAAGGAAGACATGAACAAAAGCACAGTTAATATAATTATTTGGGGATGTGAGGGTGAGCCGCCTGCAAGTTTGACATAACATGCATTCAAGTAACGCACTTTATAAGGATTCCAAATAGTTTCCCCCCCCCCCCACCCACCACCCACCTCCCCCAAGGCTTGCATTTTGTTTCACGCCCTTGAACTATATTTTTTTATATTTTAATGCCCCACCCGCTTTTACACCGCAGATTTACTACACCAACTAGTTCTGTAAAGTCATGAACATATTTATGCTGGCACCAAACGCACTTGCGATGTTTCCCAGAATCTCATTTTGCGCAATTCTTTTCAATTTTATTTCTCGATTTCAGTGTCATCTGGTAGCGTTAAAACAGTTTATTTATTTATTTATTTTTTGTTTGTTGAGGGTAGGGTTTGGGACTGAACATTTGATAGAATGTCTTGCCGTCGGCAATGAGTCTAAGTGCAAATTTTCGGCATGGACGGGATGACGGCAATTAGTCTTACAAAGATTTTGCCAGAAACACACCGACACACGAACAGCAGCGATGTTAATAGAAAGTTAATAGAAACACACAAAAAAAATCTAAACCATATCATAAACTGGTAGTTCTTAGAACAAGCGCAGAACTTTAATGAACATCATATCACAACAGATGAGAGCGTCGATGACTCAACATGGGATTATCTTAAAGCAACTCTCATGAAAAACTTTCAATGACATCCAGTGGCGCAGCTAGGCTTTGTGCCGCCCGGGGCTGCAAATCTTTTAGCCTCCCCCCTCCCCAATACACAAAATAACACTGCAATTAACGAAAAATCCCCCCCCCCTGAAAATAAAGAAAAAATGTAAACGCCGAACGGACATCCCATTCAATACCTACGCCACTGATGCCTTCGCTGTGTGTAACTCTGTCAGAAACAAGCCCCACCCATATCCTCTAGATGAAAGATCTGTAAGATACTCAACTCTACTTCAGTTATGAGCTAACACTAAATTATTTCAAAAAATAATTATTATAAAGACATTGTAATTAAGTACATTGCTGTGTCAAAAAAAAATATTTAAAAAAAAATATTTTTTTTAAACACTGGACTAATTATGTTGCATTATACTTATAGGGAAAATTTCACTCCAGGATAGTCTAAGAGATGTTATTACATCATAACATATTACATGGCAGTTATCAGTAATTGTGTTGAATCATATCTTTCACCTCTATAATGCCTAGCCGAAGTGATGGCTAAATCGGTGGCAAATCCAATTTTTAAACAATCATGTTTCTGCCAAAAGACCGTAAAACATTTTAAAATTAATGTTTAGTTGTTTTATTATTATTATTTAGTCTATTAAAAAAATAATTTAACAAAAAAGAATAAAAACGGCCATTTTTTAATTTTAAAACGCATATAAAATGTACAGCTTTATGATCAACTATAACGCCATACATAGCGCCATCCGCAACGCCATCCACATATGGATTTACAAAACGTAAATCAATTTACCAGAGTAAACATAAGTATTCATAGTTTTTCTATAAATTTGGTAATGTTGAATTTAAATGGACAATTTTGGTCTTTGCACCAAGTTTCCCTTTAGGCATCACGACGAAAATAATCTCAACTGAACTGAGATATGAGACCTTCGAATTTGAAGACGTTATAGAGAACCTTAAACTTTGGATGAAATTTGTATTTAACTTTGTTCTTTTTTTTTGTAAGTGGGGTGTATGTTGAATTATTTTCGAAGTTTAAAAGAGGACAGCAATGTACACCGAAAACCATTGCAAGTATAAAATGAACTTTTTTGTCTAACAGTGAACACAATTTTTGCATAAAAAGCAATGAACCAACGTGCACGGATTATTTTTCAAATAGAGTTGTCTTTATTTTTTAATAATGTTAGGCAATGTATCAATAAATAGTGAAACAAGATGTAAAATAAAAATACATGCGATTAAGCGGAGGTTTCTTCCACAGACCATACAAAACCAGAAACCTCAGTCACTTAAAATTAAAATTAGAAATAAAAACCTATGTTTTCGAAAATCTGCCTAATGTCAATGTAGCTCAATGTTTAGAACAGAAAGCGCTCAAATTTAGTGTTAGAAACGGAAGTTAAGTTGCTCAGGAACTGTACGAAGTTTTTAAATTGCTAGCAGCATTGCGAAACATTAAAATGGTCGTGGCGCATTTCGCTAAATAACCAAGTGCAGGTAACTAGCACGATTGTAATATAGGTCGATAAGCCGAATCATTATCACCAAAAAAAAAGTTAAAAAAAAAAAAAAATTAAAGACTGAGATTCAATCAAAGCATAATTTAAAATTGCAAGACTTCGAGAATATGGCGATCATCAAGTCACGTAAATCAAATTATTCGAAACTGTAATTCGAAATGTTTTTATTGCTTAATTGTGTCAAGTCAGTCATATTTTAAAAATTAGAAAAAAAACACACCTTAGCATGGTGTTAATGAGATGGTGTCACGGTGTCTTCGTGGATTTTTACAAAGGTATTGGATTCATAGTGACTAATAGGGCAATCATTGTAAAGACAGAAAAAAAAATCGAATTTTTAGCCTTTAAAAAACAACCAGTCACATGTAATCTCCACAAAAAAGTGTGTTGAATTATGGGCTTCATATTTAATGTGATATGGATTAAAATAGCGTTCTATATTACCCCCGCATCCATCAGTCAAGTGTACAAAATGGGAGGTAATCACACTCTCTTTGTTTTATTTTGGTGCATCAATCGTATCCAGAATAATGAACAGATCGGCAATCTTCATTGGTTGAATGGAGAGGAAGCGAACACAATTAAAACATGGGAGAGGCGTGGTGAGGCGTGGTAAGGTGGGGTGAGGCTGGTCGATGACAGTGACGGCTTGGTACAAATCCATTTCACAAATCTCTTCAGATAGTTAGAAGTTAAAGATGTCGTTAACTTATTAAACACGACTTGCAGATCTTCCTGTGTCTTTATTTCCCATTTGGCTACAAAATGGCGAACTAGGAACCAGGCAATTATGATTGTAATTATTTTTAAATTGCGATTTCATTGATTAACTGATTTTAATTTTTTTTTTTTTTTTAAATATTTTTTTTATTATTTTCTTTTCCAGTTTGGCACCAAGCTTCATCTCAAACTATAATTTATGAAACAATGTGTCTGCTTTGAACGGCAGTAGCGAACTTTATTGAGTGAAAATACAGCAGCCCCTTCTAGCTCAAACTGAATCGTCACCAAAAGAGATACGTTAATAAACTTAGCTTCAACAACTGCTGTAGTTAATAGGATGTAGTTGAGTGAGATACTATTTACATGGCAAACAGACACTGTGCTTATGAGGTTTTCTGAGACTAAACATTTAAAAAACAAGCAATTGAAAAAAAAATAGATGTAATCATATATTTCTTTCAGCTTGAAGTGAAAGCTTATGTCATTTAGTATCAGGGCGGGTAGCATATAGACTGTACCTCCAACGGGAGAACATATTAATACATATCGCATAGCGCGAGACACTAAGTTATTTCAGGAATGTCTACGAATGAGACATTCAATGTCCCAGATAACGATCTCTTCGTCATAGATAACAGATCCAGGTACACTTTCCACATCATCATCAGCTGGATGATTTTTGTGGCATTTTTACTCGGGACTTTTGGCAATGCCATCAACATCATTGTGTTTATAAAACTGGGATTTAGCGACACTGTGAACATCAGCCTCTTCGCCCTGTCCATCTCCGACCTGGCCTGCCTGTGGTCGTTGGCATGGCTCATCGTCTGCTACTACCCGCCATTCTTCTACGCTGACCTCCCGTTCGTGCCTTATGAGATAGAGAACGTCACAGCGGGTTGGCCCCGCATCTGCTTTGTCCGCATGACGGCGTTGATAACGTCCTACATCGCACTCGAGCGTTGCGTCTGCATAGTGCTTCCGCTGAAGGTGAAGACGCTCCTGACGCCGCGTCGCGTTGTGTTCATCCTGGTGACGATTTGCGCCCTCATGATCATCAGCATCGTTCCGATATTTCCGGTCACACCTTTTGTGTGGAAGCTCCTGCCGTCCACCAACCGCACTGTCCTCGGGACCATATTTGCGCCCAACAGAGACGACGTCTCCAACACGATGTACATTTTCAGCAACGCCTACAGCTACGCGGCGTTTATTTCAATATCGTGCTTCACGGCAATTCTAGTGGGGCAGCTGCGCACCAAATCGAAATGGCGCAATATCGCTGCGTCTGTCAACAATTCTGGTTCGGTGTCTAAGCGAGACCAAAAAGTCGTGAAGATGGTCGTGGTGATATCCGCGGTTTTTATCGTCTGCTTCTTTCCGGAGACGGTCATCTACATCGGCACGGTGATCAATCAGGATTTCCGTGTTGCCGGGCGTTACCGCAACTTCTTCTTCATTGTCAACTCCAGTATGTATTTCCTGGAGGTGACTAACTCCAACGCCAATGTTATAATTTACATGAGAATGAGCTCTAAGTTTCGTAGAGCCTTTAACGCCATCATCTCATTCAAAAAGAAAGAAAAATCATTTTAACCAGTTAATCGTAATGGATTTGACTGTATGCCTGACAACGGACATAATAGCGTTATATAGGCAACAGATTTAATAAATATTGATTTCTTTTTGTGTTTGTTGTATTGTTATGCGTTGATATCTTATTTCAAATGGTACATATAATCATTAATAATGATAATAATAATAACAATGATAATAATAAATTGAATTTTATGATATGGATTTATTCAACTATGAAGCACAACATTTTAAAAAGTCAATTCTTTTTAGGGTAAATAAAGTGTATAATAATTGTGAAACTTGTCAATTGACAAATATATTAAAGAATATAATTACACTCTAAACGAAAACTAAATATATGCTCCAATTTTAGCATCAGTCTTCTTTTTTTTAAATATACTTTAAAACATATTTATATACTAGCCAATAAACCCGGCTTTGTTCGTGCTTTATTCGTAAAAAAAAATAACTCATGAGCGTTATAGGCAAACAGGTAGTCAAAATCTCGTCGCTACAATAACTATTAAAATTTAAATGTGGTCCTATAAAGGCCAGATTTATTTTTTTTTAAAAACAAAACACTTGTAATAAATATGGAATTTGTGGCCCATCTCTTGTCAGTTAATCTTCCGGAAACCGGGGCGCTTTCCATTGTACGCTTGCATTGTAGGTTTTGTGGACAGGCATTCTGACAACTAATTCGTTGCTGAGCCATATCCTGGCTGATTGGGATGGCACCAACCATTAGTCTTAATTTCTAGTTCCGAGTGTGAGAGCTTCTTGTTTTGCCAGCAGCTCGCCTTAAACATCTCATCTCGCAGTGGACTATTTTTCTCTCGAGACTTTATATTAATTCGGTTTCTTTCGTGGCGGGCTGGGTGGAGGACTGGCAAAACTTTCGGTCGGCTAATTGACCCACTTCCCGTCAACAAGTCGAGCTAAAACTCGACACATAGACTCGTTTCCGTTGACAACACAATCTATTAAATTTTAAGCACCACCACTTCCACCCAAACCCAAACCCAAAATCACCTTATTTTTTCAAGGAGAAGATGAAGGCGATATGACGACACTAATTTCACGAAATAAAATTCCCGCTTACTGCGCTAAATGAGATTTTTTTTTGTTTTTAAATATCACTAGTGCGTTTTGTGCGTAATATTTTCTTTTCCTTTTCTGAAATAGTTGGTGAAATAAATCTGCGGTGTAAAAGCGTGTGGAAAAATGTGCGTTTGTGAGCCTTAGAAAAGAGGGGGGGGGGGCGTCAAATCGGATTTTTAAAAAGTGCGTTATTTTTATGCATGTTTCGTCGAATTTTCACCCCCCCCCCTCCTTCCAATATTTCGATATTGCATTTTATAAAGGATTTATGCGCAACATTTTGTTTTTAAGGGTTGTTTAACTGCCAGGTTTGTATCAGCAATCGGCGTAGAATCTTTCATTGTAAGCCTTCGTGTAGAACTTTTGCTATGATAAGGAAAGTACACCGTAGAACAATCTACGCACTTTTGGAAATTGAATACAAATTTTGAAACATCTGAGGAAAATCATGAGACGTAAAGGAACAAAAAGAAAAATAAAAAGACATTTCTAACACTACCGAGTCAAAACTGATGTCAGTAAAAAAAAAAAAAAACATCATCTATACAAACTGATTGTGTTAGGAATGAATGAAACTTATAATGAATGTACAACATGGAAATAATTTAATTAAGAAAGTGACATCTGCTATGGACTGAAATTGTTCCATGTGTAACAATGATGCCTCTGGGACATTGCCATCCTTATAAATGCACCCACCCACTCAGCGACGCTGTTTGACTAAATGCTAATTTCGGGCTAAATAACAAACTTGCGATTCTCCCTCCGTACACACACATATCTAAATATAAAAAATTTGATAATCAAAATAAATAAATGAAAACCCATGACTGTGAACCCCTAGGTACTACTAAGTACCCTTTATGCACGCCCCTGAACTATGTGATACGGCAACTAAAATGTAGTATTTTTGAATGCATGAACCAAATAAAAGGCTCACCGAAAACCTTCATTGAAAGCACACGTTCTGGATAACAACTTAATAACAATAAATGCATAAAAATAAACTATATTGAGCGTCCCACGAAGCCATTTCATATGAAAATGAAATGTATTTTTACTCTTCATCCTCTACATTTTCAAATTTTTTAAACTACTGATTTTTGGGGTTAAGGGGATTAAGATTCGATGAACCATCTGTAGGTCAGGAAGCATGACCGTGTCAAACTTGGTTGCGATCCAATGTTATGTTTTCTCGTGATTCATCGACCTATGTATTCAAAAATTGTTACACAGTACTTTATATATATATATACATATATAGGTTCTTGGTAGCCAAGTGGTCTAAACTGGTTTAAATCTCAAGTTCTTTGTCTGGAGTTCAATCCCAACCAAATCCCAGTCAAGCGAAAACATCACCAGCCTCCCCCCCCCCCCGGCTGCTCGTTAACCTTGGATGGCAACTCAGCTAAGAGAAGGAAACTCTGAATTCAAACCGGCCGATGGAGTCCCGTAAGCGGATAACATTGGTACAATTAAACATTCTGACAACTCCTGCGACGCCATTGGTGCCAAGCTGTAACATTCATGATGTTCCATTGGGTTATCCAGCGGCATGGACAGAGACACGATTGGCTGTGTTGATAACTAGCTTAAATCCTTTAAAAAAATTTTCCCTATGGATTTTACCCATGCCACACAAAAAATGTGACCAACAGTTAGTGGGCGTAGAAAGAAATCTATTCCCAGAAGTAAACAAGTCAACACAGAATCAATCCGCATTGACCATCAATATAGTAGAACTATAGTTATCTTAACTTTAATGATAATTATAATTTTGTCTACCCCGATTGCTGCACGAACTTCAGGAATAAATAAGACTTTATAATCTGTCAGGATTATGTGATCCAAAATCAATTGCGTCTAAATGTTAGTCTCTTTGTCACTGCTGATTTTCAGAGTTTCACACACACACACACACACACACACACACACACACACACACACACACACACACACACACACACACACACACACACACACACACACACACACACACAAACACACACACACACACACACACACACACACACACACACACACACACACACACACACACACACACACACA